ATTTTTGTGTTAGAGGCTGAGTCGACCCCAGGCCCATAGTGCGGCTGGAAGGTTTAGGTAAACTGAAAAAAATCCACCTCATCGGGACTCGAACCCGCGACCATCCGGCTTGTAGCATAGTGCCTCAACCTTCTACGCTACTGCGTGCCCCCGAGCTCACTGCCTAAGCTGGGCGTAGTTACGACTGCCGTGACACCGAACAGAGCTCTGCATATGTTACACGTATGTGTCTACGTGTCACTTCTGAAGCAGCGGAAGATTTTGGTGAACCGTGCCATGAAGCTTGTGCCACTGGGGACAAACTCAGCGTCGTGCTTTGTTCCTTACAGTTATATCAACATGGCGGGCGCGCGAATACATGTTGTTGCAGCGACCTAGAGACACTTAATTTAGGGCTCTAAAAAGATGTTGAGCACTAGATCATAATGCAAATATTGTTGAGGAACTTTTCGTGGAACATGCAGGTAACAACATGACGACAGCGGCCTCCGTAGTCTAGAGGTAACGTTCCCACCTCATGACTCGTGGTACGCGGGTTCAAATACCCGGCGGAGGTCGTGAAATTTTTAAGGGCGGAAAAATTCAGGGAACAAGTCCTCTGGGCGGGACTTTAAGCCGTGTGTCCCGTGTCGTAGCTTTACGGCACGTAAAAGAACCTCATATCTCCAAAGGAGATCACTGAGCCAAATTCAAGGACGTTTCCCGCCCAACAGTAGTCTATAAGGCCTCTGATAGATGGGGAAAGCATTATAGACACCGCCAAGCTAGTGGAGGCCGAACTCGCTTGCTCGGCGGGACTGATGGTACGCACCAATATCGGTAGGGTATAGAGACTCGTAGAATATCATAGAGGGAAGCACAATGGACCAATACTGGTCTAAATGCATGAGGAAACCCACCCTCTCCAATAACTAACTAACTAACTAACTAACAACATGACGACGGTACAAATATTTGCTCTATCTCTGGGCTCAGTGACGACAGTTTGAAATGTGTTGGAGCTTAGTGTATGTCTGACTGCAGAATCTGCGAGAGTACGTCCTACCTCGAAGAGGCAGGCTCACGGAAGAAGTTCGTCTCGTCTACATCACTGTCTGATAACGGCATATCCTCAGATATTTGAGGCAAATTTTGTTTCAGCTAGAAGTTACAAAGTGCTCGTAAGGTACAACTTGACACAGGTTCTTTTGATTTTCTTCTGTCTTCAAGGAAATGCTGAGACAGTTCCACAGTTCCAAGTTCTTATTTTGTACATCAGAAATAAAACCCATTCACTAGAAGCCCGAAATCACTTTTCAATTATTAAACTTACGAATAAGCAAAAAATCAAAATTCAGCGGCCTCTGTCTCAAACCAGTGTTTCTATCAGTTCTGAAGTGTTCATTTCCACACTGCATTTATCAGGACAAGTGAGCAAAGCCTGGGAGCCTTCTAGCAAATTTATGCTCTTCCTATCCCTCAAATAGAGCGCGTCTCATGACTTCCACATCTTTCCCTTCCCGCCGAATGTTGTTCTCTCCTTTGCAACTTCTCTCTTCAGGGTTCAGAGTTCGTGCTCATGAAACTGATGTCACTGCTCGAACGAGCATTGGTATGCTTCGGCGAGGTTCATGTTCACGTTCGACAAAAGAGAACACATGAGGCTCGGGAGAGTTTAGAAAGGATGAAACTTCTGGAAGTAGACAACATTATTTCTCAACTTTTGCAGTAAAGGCGACGCTCGACTACTCCGGAACCAAGGAGTGAACCTGTCACAATCCTGTCGCTCAGATGGAAGCGAGGAATATATTTCAGTCGGCGAGTCAATAAGTTGGGCGACCGGGCCGTGACTGAGTGCGTCAGTGTATATAATCGTGGAGACGCCCGACGTCTGGAATGTGCTGTATTGCTACCTGCATGTCTGTACACTGTACTGATTGCCTGTGTATATAACCGCGCGCAGTCCACTAGTCAGCACAGGCATTGCCTATGTATATCACCGCGCGCAGTCCACTAGTCAGCACAGGCACTGCCTATGTATATCACCGCGCGCAGTCCACTAGTCAGCACAGGCACTGCCTATGTATATCACCGCGCGCAGTCCACTAGTCAGCACAGGCACTGCCTATGTATATCACCGCGCGCAGTCCACTAGTCAGCACAGGCACTGCCTATGTATATCACCGCGCGCAGTCCACTAGTCAGCACAGGCACTGCCTATGTATATCACCGCGCGCAGTCCACTAGTCAGCACAGGCACTGCCTATGTATATCACCGCGCGCAGTCCACTAGTCAGCACAGGCACTGCCTATGTATATCACCGCGCGCAGTCCACTAGTCAGCACAGGCACTGCCTATGTATATCACCGCGCGCAGTCCACTAGTCAGCACAGGCACTGCCTATGTATATCACCGCGCGCAGTCCACTAGTCAGCACAGGCACTGCCTATGTATATCACCGCGCGCAGTCCACTAGTCAGCACAGGCACTGCCTATGTATATCACCGCGCGCAGTCCACTAGTCAGCACAGGCACTGCCTATGTATATCACCGCGCGCAGTCCACTAGTCAGCACAGGCACTGCCTATGTATATCACCGCGCGCAGTCCACTAGTCAGCACAGGCATTGCCTATGTATATCACCACGCGCAGTCCACTAGTCAACACAGGCACACTGATGCCTGAAAAAGGGGGAGAAGAGGAATTATGGGCCTGGGATGGGGGTGGAAGACCCTACTTCTTATTATGGAGAATAGAAAATTTGTCTTGCTTTTGAGGTTCTCAGGCAGCACCGCGCATATTTCTTGTAGAGTTAGGTTCGAGAGAGGGTAAAGCGTTAGGAAGACATTTTGATGTTAACATTGCGAGGCTACGCGACAGTGCAGTTGATTGAGCCACTATGCTAGAAGGTCGCGGGTTAGGTTCCCGATTAATTAATTGGATTTTTCAATTTACCTAATCCTTCCAGTCGCATTATGGCCCTGGGTTCGACTCAGCCTGTAATATAAATGAGTAACAGGGATCTTCCTGGGCGTAAATGGGGGACCGGCGCATAAGCTTGACAGCCTCACCGCCATCTGTGAGCCAATTGTTTAGAAAATGTGGGAGCCTCGACATCTCACAATGCAACGGGCCTCCACGGCCTATTACAGGGATGGGATGCATGTGAAGCATGCAGTGCAGAGTCAGAATCCTAAACAATATATAACAATTCATTTCGTACTTCACAGGGAACACTGCCTTTGTTACAAAAGCTATCGAATTATAGAAGTATGATTATAGAAGTAATCGATGTTTGTTACATGTATCAGCGCACTCTGTGCGTTAAAGTTGGTGGTGACTAACGCAGCATGAGAGACTAAATATAGTCCATATATTCACAACATATTAATTCGAAAAAACATCAAAATTCTTGAGCAAAACTATTCAAAACATGTTATTGTTGTTTTTGAAAATGCTGTATCCTCACGGTCCATACCTCCTTCATCAGGTAACATTTTGCAAAGTGACACGAGCAGCTTGTTCATTGTTCCTTCCTTATATTGACAAGCATGTAACGGTGAGAGCTGGAATCCAATGTCTGCATTTGTGGCAGAATGGTACTGCACTTCCTACTCATTAAATCTTACCAAGTAATAGTAATAATAATAAATTCTAAATTAAATTTATGTTTTGTTTTTAACCTTTAAAGCACAACAATGACAGCATTATTGCACGTTTCAATAAGAATTAAACATTTGGTTCTTACCTCACAGAAAACGCTCCACGTATTAATTCGGATGATGACGTTCGGAAAACGTATTGTTGCATATTCTGAAAACCAATTTGAACTGACACATAACGTCTCTAGAGTAAATGCCGATTTCATTAACGTTAAATCGGGTGGCTTAAATGATTATCACTGACCATTAAAGGATTAACACAAAAATGCTGCATTCTGCCCAGCACAGTGCATATGGGCCTATGGGTTTTGCATTGGACTCAAACAGGCAAAGGGTTTTATAGCAGGATCCTCTGCCAGAACAACGAAGGATCTGTAGAGATTAAACAGCGATCAACTAAGACGGGTGGTAGGATTACTTACCGGACACTGCCACCTGAAAGGACACCTTTACAAACTGGGACTGATAGATGACCCAACTTGTGAAAGGTGCCTACAAGAAGACGAATCAGCCGAACATGCCCTATGTGATTGTGAGGCCATAGCTTATTTAAGATTTCGTCACTTGGGTCAGTTTTTTATGGAACCAAGTGACCTTTATGACGCCCCCATAAGCAGGGCCCTACAGTTTATTAAAAATGTAGGATTAATAAAGGGCTAATCCAAGGGGAAGCACAATAGATCATTGAAGGTCGCAGTGCGAGGGCTGGTTTTTATGGCCCACCCCTTACATACATTACATTACATTACATGGGTTTTGCAGGATTCTCAGAATAAGCATCGATTTTTTTCCCTAAACAGCATTAACAGTTTAGCGTATGCAGTGAGACGCAGATTTTGCCTGCGAGGCAGGAAGTGACTGACTCCATGGAACCGAGACCTCCAGAAGCCTTCGGGTTTTCAGCTATTCAATTTGAATCTTATACAGATGGATTTTAGCTGAGATGTTTCCCAAGCTCCAAGTTGCTACTGCGTGGCTCTCCTGAAGCCCTCCACATTGAAAGACATTAAAACTGAGGCCAAAGATTATTTCTTCGAATAGCCAGGCCAGTGAGCACTGCTGAGAACCTCATAGCACGCCGTCGGCTCGGTATGTCCCTCCAAAACAAGTATGAATCTTGCGTGGATTAGAGAACATGTGCTTGCTTTTGTGAACACAGGCACGTGGAGCCAGCCTACTTACTGCTTGCTTCTGTGAGCACAGACACGTGGAGCCAGCCTACTTACTGCTTGCTTCTGTGAGCACAGACACGTGGAGCCAGCCTACTTACTGCTTGCTTCTGTGAGCACAGACACGTGGAGCCAGCCTACTTACTGCTTGCTTCTGTGAGCACAGGCACGTGGAGCCAGCCTACTTACTGCGGTGTAGATGGCGCTGGCATAGCTGCCGGTCCGGAGGGAGCGCCAACAGCAACACGACTGCAGGATGGCCATAGTGTCCGAGTTGCTGCTGGACGGAACTGGGAGTGAGCCCGCTGGCTGCTTTCATTCACAGGTCAGCGTGCGAGCAGACACGTTGCAGCTCTCAGAGGACGGACCTTGGGGCCGCAGGACTCCGCAGTGCGATGCATCCCGACGCGTGTTCTTGCCAGCGTCTGAGCGACACGGACGTCCGCCTTGTATGGACCCGACGCGTGTACTGCGGAGAGGGAGGTTGCCTGTCGAAGGATGGGCTTGCGTCTGCGCCTGATCCATAGGTGGTCGCTGCCGTCCCCCTGCAGTAACGAGCTGTGTAAAGTAAAGAAAAACTTGTCATTTTGCTTAATTAAACACCCCGCCATGAAGACACATGGGGAAGTGGATGTTAATCTCAGCATTGACCAACTTCAAGCCCAGGTACACACTGGATAAGGGGATGTCTGGGTCCCATTTCCGGTCTGATCGATGCGGAGAACCTGAATCTCCCAGAACTCAAACCCCAGCCCTCAGTTTAGTCACTATACCGCCTCATTTATCTCTGCCTCTCAGGCCAGCGTCCACGGTAAACGTCGTAAACGTGAATTGGCTTCGAATCCCGAAGTGTCTTCTCACAGAAGAGATTATTCCCATAGTTTTCCTCTGCCTATCCACTTGAATACCGTAATGGCTTCCTTCCACTTCATCGCCTATGATTATTCTCTCATTAAAGAGTTTATGTCCGTGCTTCTTCGTAACAGACGTATAAGTCGCCGCGTGGCGACATCCCCAGAACGTGAGACATCTGCAGTGTCTCTTGTCAGCAAGGAAGCACTGGCACAGCGCCTGGTACGCTGCCTGTCCGCAGCACACAGCCGGGATGGTGATGTCCTCCCGCATGTGGTAACACGCTTTCAGAGCACTGGAGGCCGCGCCATAGCTCAAGAGGTTAGTCGCTGGCTTCCCACCGCGGTGGCCCGGGTTCGATCCTGGGTCTGGTTAAGTGGGATTTGTGGTGGGTAAAATGGCGCTGGGGTAGGTTTTCTCCCAGTACTTCGGTTTCCCCTGCCAATCTTCATTCCAGCAATTGCTCCACAATCACCCTCACCTATCATCTGGGGCTGGTACAATAGGCCAGAAGTGGCCGCGGTACAAGGGACTTAGTCCCATCCCACTAGCAATAAAAAAAAATGCTCATGGAGCTGAGCCCTTCTTGAGAAGCCGTTTAGATGGACAGAACATGGATACCGAAGAGCACGTTATAAAATATAATTTGACGGAAAATGAACTCCGGGAAGATCAGGAATAAGACGATACATTTCGATACGAAATTACGTAAGACTGGCAAGGCATCGAAAAGAAAGCCTTATGCGAAGGGAGAACAAATTGGATAATTTTCGTCCCTCGGCCAGAATGAAATGGAAACAGGGGAGGAGGAAGGGAAGAAGAAGAAGAGAATTGTAGATTTAATAATTGTTGCAGGCCTGCAGATGTTTCTAGTTCATCTTGCATGTACTTCGGTTCATACAGTAAACACAAGTTCTGAATTTGTCGTCGAAATGCGTGGTTATAGCCGAGGGAGCAGAAACGTACTCATTTCACTCCATTGTTTAATTAATGGAATTTTCATTTCACCTCCAGCCATTAAATATTTGACGATGTTCCCACCCCCACAGTTTACAGATGAAGTCATTAAATATATGCATAAAGGGTTCTGTGCTCTCGTCCGGGCGATAAATCGGATGCTTGCGTGCGATCACCGGGATTACAACAAACGATTCCTCACTTCTGCGTCCGAACCACATTTCAGCGGATCTTAGGCCCAGACTGACCGACCGATCCGGGATAGCTCAGGCAGGAAAGAGACTAGGTTACTATGTGGGCGACCGAGAAATCGAGGTTCGGCTTTCGGCAGGGGCGAGAGATTTTTTTTTTACATCGTCCACATCGAAACCAAGGCCCATTAAACCTCCTATTCAATTGGATTTGAAGACGTATGGGTGGAGTGGGTGTATAGATCCACATAGTCTTGATCTCGGAACTAGTTGGAGGTGAGTGACATATGGGGGAGTGGATATTAACGCGTTCATATCCGTCAGTGCTTGATGGAGATGAGTAGTTAGTTTCACGCCCCAGTCGCCTTATCCTCTATATAAAGATTCTCCGATAGCCGTTGGATAGAAGGCTGGATGGGTTCCGCATCCGGTTTGGACGCGACAGAGGAGAGAGAGAGAGAGCAAGACAGACTAAGTTGGCACGTGCTTCTGTGGTCCAGCAGCCGAGAGTTGAGACATTTTAGAACAAATTTGGAACAGCCATCTGAATGAAGAGGATAACCATTACTATTCGCATTTTGCAGTGTTCGTGGTGAGTCTCGGTGGTGAGCCCGGTGCTCACAGCGGCTTCGATCTGGCGGCAAGTTCTGTGCAGTTAGGGCCGTGCCATAGCTCAAGCGGTTAGTCGCTGGCTTTCCACCGCGGCGGTCCGGGTTCGGTCCGGGTCTGGTCAAGTGGGATTTGTGGTGGACAAAATGGCGCTGGGGCAGGTTTTCTCCAAGTACTTCGGTTTCCCCTGCCAATCTTCATTCCACCAGTTGCTCCACAATCACCCTCACCTATCGTCTGGGGCTGGTACAATAGGCCAGAAGTGGCCGCAGTACAAGGGACATAGTCCCACCCCATTAGCAACATAAGAGTCATTCAGAATCAACAGTACGGTCTGTTGGGCCGTAACGCCGTGTAGTTTGGAGAGAGCTCGACGTTTCGTAGGAACTTGTCGCCTCCATCTTCGTAATCAAAGGATAAGCCAAGCAAGAAACCAACAGAATTAGGTGGTAAGCTGAGCTAGGCTTACTCATTGACTCTCAAGATGGAGCTGATATATTCTTCCGAAACGTCAGGCCCTCCGAATTACACGGCGTGACAACACAGCGAGAGTCTTAAGAGCCCCAGTCTCAGTATGAAGTGAGTCTGCCTGCCATCTCGTTTATTGTCACGTGTGATTTGAGGTTCTCACAGCGGTAATTATGAACATTGCTGTGACGTCGTGTAGCCTGGTAGAAGTTGGAGGTCTCAACAAACGTACGTAACCACCTACCGAACTAATTGTGTCAGATTTGGAAGACTTGTTCGTGTTCACAAGAACTGACGCCTTGATCCTGCAGTGACCTAAATTAATATAGTCCTCAACCTCAAACCCTCTCTCCTGAACACTAATTTTAATATTATACTCCCATGTACATATGTCCCTATTTGACTTCCCTTCATGTTTGTCGAACATAACTCTGCATGCATTTCTCATCTCTCTCGCGAGTGCTACATGATAACCCCATCCTATCCTATCCTTGAGTTCATCATTCCAATAATATTCCCTGTAGCGCCTGAAGCACAAGTTACGAAGATCCTTATTACACAGCCTTCGCTAACGTCCTCACTCCTACATGGCATTCGGGAGGTTTTGGGTTCAAATCTCGACCCGGACAACGGCTGTCCTCGCTGATGTTTTCATGGTTTTACTTCCTGGAAAATTCCGGAATTTTACTTCAGATTACTCCACGTCCCTGCCCATTCACTCTTCACTGCTCTGTTCACCCTCCCATAGCACGAACTGCTGATAGCGTCACTAACCAAACCCTGTCGATACCGAGCCCTCACATTCTCTCCAGATGTGCGAAGTGCCTCTCAGTCTTTTTGGTCTTGCGTCCCAAGGCTCACTTGGTCTAGAACCGTAGTCACATCACAGTGAAACGAGAGCCTTTTCTTTTCGAGACGTGCATTTTTATCATTATGTGATGGTAAAGGAGAAGCAATCCCTGTAACAGGCCGTGAAGGCCGATAGGGATGTGAGACGTCGAGGCTTCCACATTATGTAGACAATCGGCTCACAGATGGCAGTGAGGTTGTCAACCTTATGCTCCGGCCGCCCTTTACCCCCAGGAAGATTCCTGTTTCTGATTTCTGTTAGAGGCTGGGTCGACCCCAGGGCCATAGTGCGGCTCGAAGGATTAGGTGAATATTATATTTAAGCATCTTGTTGCACTCTACACGATAAATGATATAAACTCCGTCCCAAGTGCAAACAATATATTTTATGTCCTTGATCTTGCTCTCCTTTACACTACATGTTTCGGCCTCAAACGGCCATCATCAGGTGTATACTCTTAACGTCGCTGCTACACTGAACCCAGTCTAAAATTTAACATTTACAAACACATTGTTATTTTCTTCGTATTATCAACATCTACCTCGTTGATATGTGTCTGGTATGTAGATTATATTGCACACGTTAATTTTGATTTTCCTATAGTAGCACTATAAAATCTTTAGTTCTAATTTTAAAATCCTTTAAAAATTTTCTCTGAAGGAACAATGTGTTTTTAAATGTTAAATTTTAAACTAAGTGCAGTGTAACAGCAACGTGAGTGTATACACCTGATGACGGCCGTTTGAGGCCGAAACATGTAGTGTAAAGGAGAGCAAGATCAAGGACATATAATATATTGTTTGCACTTGGGACGGAGTTCATATCATTTATAAGGATTAAGACCTCACCGGGAATCTAACCCGCGACCTTCCGGCTTATGCATTTTAATATTATGTTAGTCATTAATGAATGTTCTAATTTTCGAGGTCTGTAGGTCAGGCGATTCCACAAGGACAGTGGTAGGAACCTTCTGTCCGTGCTTTAGACCTGGTCCTTCTCAGCAGCGCGCAGTGGATGTGGTCAGAGTCCATTAACTGAGATAATTATTGTAGGGTGTGTATGGGTCGTAGCAGGGCCTAAATTACGGTGCGAATGTAACCACTGCCCCGCTATGTCTTGTCGTACTTCTCACGCGCAGCGCTAGGAGCCAAGTGCGAACGCAGCCTGTACTCACCTCTGGTGTCACGTGCCTCCAGTGAAAGTGGATTTGCACCAATCATAAGCAGCACTCAGTCCCGCCACTTGTTGGTGCGCGCCCTCCGCACAAATTGGATGCTGGCTTAGCTGCGAGGAAGAAGTGCTCGAGTACAGTTCCCGGGGGACGGGAGAGCGGCGGGAAAAGTAAACAGAGGAAAGAGCCACAGAAGGAACAAAGATATTGAGTAAAAAGTGCGGTGAAAGGAAACCCCACGTTCAGCAAACACCGTGAAACTCAGGCCGACGATTTCCTGACGATGTAAGTCTGTGTGTGAGAGAAAGCGTGTCTCCTTCAGTACAGTGAGTAAGTAGGAGCTACACAGAGAACAGGGGTTCAATTCCTGGCGGGGAGCGGAATTATTTATCTTCACCACGGGGTCATCGTGCCTTATGACAATGGATAGGGGATATTCTTTCGCTGGAGGTAAAGACGCCAGGGCGTACAAACACCTGCTCACTCTGGTTCGCTCGCGGATTTCTTATTTTTCTTTTCTACCCTGAAGATGGAGGCGATACGTTCATCCGAAACGTCGGTTAACACAATATCTACACGGCGCCACATCCCAGAAGTCTGTTTTCTTCTGTTAGTTGTGTTGCATTCGATTGCTGTTTGGCCTACGTATCTTATTTTGAAGAAATTAAGTAGGGTTATGGGATCGTCTTGTTGTCTCTGTGTCTGTGTGCACCACATCGTTGCCAGGCAACAGCTCGGTAAACACATTCTCGCGACAACGAGGACACACGCAGTAATAGGAGAACTCGTATCAGATACTCAGTGTATAGTGAAAGGAGCGCGTTCAGAAGTTGCTGCAAAATTTCCGGAATGCTGCCTGACCCAGCAACCCTAATATGCATAGGTACGTTTAGAAATTCACGCTCTTATAGTTAAAAAGAAAATTTGCCACGAAAGGAAGACGCCATTTTTATCAGTTAGAAATGGACTGATCGGGAAAATCTTCAATGAACCGTTTTTTTTTTTTAATATTTTTATTGCTAGTGGAGTGGGACTAAGTCCCGTGTACTGCGGCCACTTCTGGCCTATTGTACCAGCCCCAGATGATAGGTGAGGGTGATTGTGGAGCAATCGGTGGAATGAACATTGGCAGGGGAAACCGAAGTACTCGGAGAAAACCTGCCCCAGCGCCACTTTGTCCACCACAAATCCCACTTGACCAAGCCCGGGATCGAACCCGGGCCGCTAAGGTGGGAAGCCAGCGACTAGCCGCTTGAGCTATGGCGCCGGCCCAATGAACCGATTAGCAGCGGCTGTTCCGTGAGAATGAGGCTGCTTACACCTGCACCACTGCAAGCGCATTGAACCTCCCGCTTTCTTTGAATTGACAGTTTGTTAGGATGTTGAGGATCACTTGCAGCCTATATATTAAAATATGAGGACTTCTGAAAATCTGGAGGAAAGGTCCTCAAAAAGTTTTCAAGTTTTACCTGTTGTCTTTCACGCGTTTTATAAGTGTCAATTTTTCCTAAAGATTTTGTTTTGTGATGATAGATAGGCGATTAACGAAGTTCGAAAGGAGAACGTGCTTCATGCTACATCCGGTCTCGACAAGCTGCGATTGTTACGCTGTCTTTTTTGTTTTTAATCCTCCCTCTGTCCAGAAGTTGCATGACCGAATCGAGTGCGCCGGGTATGAGAAAATTTATCAGCACGTTTTGGTTCAGTCGCAGTCTACAGTAGAAAAGAAGGGCTCTAAATCAGTCCTGTCTGCAGCTGTAACAATCTCTTGATTCTTGAAAATGGCCTTCAGTTATCCTAAATTTCTGCGCTCTGAATTCTAAAGTTCTGATTGAATTGCTTCAGGTTTTGAATTATGAACTTATTTCAGCAAGACTGAAGATTAGTGGGTTAATTTTAGATCGCTGTACATTTATTTTAATTAGTGTGTTTTAATAAAGCAGTTTGTTTGGAACTGGCGTGCTGCATTTCCTCCATCGCTTTCTAGTTCTGCAGCTTCAGAAGAGTGGTTAGCAGGCTTACCAGGCCATTCCAGAACAGCTGCAGCAGTCTGCATTAGAACACGAGGGCATTACACTAGTGAGATCTCTCAGAGATATTTTACTTCCGGATTGACTACGTTTACTCCTCAATCTCTCTCTCCCTTTCAGGTGCTCCAATTTATTTCGATTGTGTTGTACCATGTTCTCCCTCATTAAGCATGTCGCTCATCGTCACGAGGGATGAACGAAAGACATTTGAATTTTATTTCAATCGTTTTACTCGGTTTACCAGAACTTTTATGATAAATTCGAAATGTTAAACCAATCGACAAAATTATATATTCTTGAAGAATCAATGAATTTGGATCAACAAAATATTAGATACGGCATTTACGTAGAAGACAATGCAAAAATCATGTGAGATTTGAGGCTGTAGCGCAGATGACTAAGAAAGTGAGCCCTTGCGTTCTGGTGGATTGTTATCAACGCCGCCTGCCGGTTCCTCCAAAATGTCGGTAACAGTCTACCAGACTACACCGCACCACGGCACAAAAGGCAGTAATCTTGAGTACAATATCAGACCGAATTTACAGCTGTAAGACTGTGAGGTAAGTTGACAGCTTCCTGCGGTCTGCAGCAACATGAACCATCAGAGACATCTGTTTGCGACTACCACCTAAAGGGGCGATGAACCAGTGGTACCCAGGCTCTGGGTTCGCGCCCCACTTGTCTCTACTTATATGTCCTTAATAAATAACTATATCTTTTTTGCTGTTCTATGTTCGTAATTCCTATAGCGCTCTGATTGCTGGTTTTTTGCCCGGCTTTTTCTTCGACCCTGAAGATGGAAGCGATATATTTCTCCAAAACTTCGATTTACCTTCAACGGGCTACACAGCGTTATCTCCCGGAAGTATTCTTCAGTTTTACTGCACTTTGCTGCCTAGTGGGTAGCACTCCTGTGTCTCTTCAGGAGATTCCAGGTTCACATCTCAGCTCAAGACCGATTCTCCTTAGGGGTACGTCGTTGTATTCCTCAGACCCTCCAAGCAAACAGTGGAACAGTGCCTCAAGTTAGGCCCCTTTTCCTTCCAGCTCATCAGTCATATCAGAGTTGCTGAAACAGTAATTACATAAACCGAAACTCTGGATTTGTGAAGCTGACGTGTGTTAGTTTCGTGAGCTCTTCGCTTGTTTCCGATTTCACGGTTCTTTGGTGGAGATGGGTTTACTGTCCTCTGACGGGGTGACTGCTACCCAAGCAATAACTGACTCACAGCTAACAGGCATGTGAAGGTTTCCACGGCTGTTCGCAGTTGACATTAGTTAGACTCTTGAGTGTTTACATCTTCTGAATGAAGTCAGTGTTGTCGACGTTTCGGAGGTATACTTCGACCAAACTACAGGGTATCATATCTCGAAAGTACTCTTCTATAGTCTCTGATGTGTGGGAACCACAGAACTCTTTGCGAAGATATTCTATTATCTGTACTGAACCCGTGCCTAATCTGAGAATATTACGGTATCAGTGGTTGTAGTCCAAAATTTAAAATTTTAAAATTAGTATTAACAACGGTGTCAGTAAAAAATTATTTTTGTGTACTAATTCTGAGTTCACATGCACTTAATTTCGCCCAAGAGACGAAGAAGCAAGTTCCCACCCAGCATTAAAAACCATTATCTGCCGTGGTATGATTGTTGATGGGAGGGGAAGTGGAAGAAGGGAATTGAGGGGGTCGGATAGTAGTAAATCGTCTTACCGATTCGGCTACCGTGTGTACCACCGTCTTCGCTCACGAAGCCGTGTGTTGCATAGATGGCAGAAGAGTATACATTACGCTGCTGCCAACCTATAGGCCAAAAGTGAACGTATGTTGGTAATCCGTGGTGTTACACGCGCTCTACTCCGTGTACTGCGTTTGTTATGCCGTGTGATTTGATGTCTGTGTTACCGACATGGGCAGGAAAGGAAAGTGTGGTAGTTGGAAACCTGTGCAGTTGACTGAAAACTTAATATCGAAAGGAGTTGAAGGATTAGTTGGAATAGAGGAATTAACAGATTATAAATTGGTTAAAGACTATGGCGCAAAGAGTATTCGCAAGGTAGGACATGAATAATATGCGGAGTATGATGAAGTGTTGGGTTACAGATTAAGAATGCTTTCTCCAGTCCAAATGGTAGAATTTGGAATATCACGTAGTTTCGTTATTATAAAGTTTAGTTTTTGGCCAAAAATCACGTTATTGCTCAAAGTTTTAAGTTGCTGATTAACTGGCCTTATTGATGGCACGTAACCACATGCAAGGTGATAGGACAAGCCGCGGATCAGTCGAAATAGTTTTAATTAATGGGTCGGAAGTCGTTTCATGTTGCTTTATAAGGACAGTTTTTGGGGTTTTCGGAAGTTTTCAATAAGTTGTGTGGCTTTTGCCTTTGAACTATGTACCACAATTGTCGGCATGACAGGTGACACTGTCGACTGGGGAGGTGTAGTGAGAATGTGCCGATGCATATTCTGGGTTATGACACCATGTAGCCTTGGAGGTGGATACCAGTGTTTAAGAAGAATATGCTGCTTTCATTTGTAAGGTCAAAGAACCCTGAGACTACCTGGTGTCACAGTCTAGAATACTCCAGCAGCAAGCTAATGTGAACACAGTTATGGAGCAAATTTCAGCTTCTCAAGGACGATTCTGCTCTGTGGATTTAGATAATATTCACTGTTAATAGCAAACACCTGGCAAGCACGTCAATGCTCTGACCTCAGATGGGGACATTCAGCGCAGAAGCACCAAACGGAAAAAAGATTTTGGACAGCCGTCTTCTAAAAGGAGAAAAGTCAACTGTAGAAGGAAACAGCAGATAAGGACTGTGCTTGAGAAGCCAAAAGAAGTGCCTGAAGTCAATAAGGATGAAACAGAATCATCAGATACTGATGATGCTGAGAGGAAGAGCATGTCATCAGAACTTCTGGAGAGCAAAATGTCTGCTTGGCATGGAGTGGGCATTATGAGTCCTATACTGAGGGCACTGGAAGAACAAGGGTTTGTGGAGCCCACGGAAATTCAGGTAAGATTTAGAAACCAGTCTCGGGTTACTGTGGTGAACAGTGTGAAATACTAGTTATGAAATATAATTGCATATCTTCCTGCAGAAGGTGCAGCACTAAAATCACATTTTCAGGTTTATTTGTGGATATACCTGGCCCTATTCCCCCCCCCCCCCCCCTCTTTCCTTTTGAAAATGTGAAGATGTGTAGCATGGAGTGTGGCAGGTGTGCCAGATGTCACTCAGCTATTGGCCACAAGATTGTGGTGTTGCGCAGTGATTGGTCAAAAATGCACGTCACATCAAACTCAGTGAGCAGTTTTATGGATTATGTATTATATTTTATTCTTTCTCTTGAAGGAAGTGAGTGATACAAAATATTCAAGCTGAGACTGATGTCTCGCACATGCAGATTTACTGGAATCACTCTTTTTTTCTTCAAACGATAGAACAATTGCTTCTTTTTTTGTGACAGTAATAATTACTCCTGTTTGCCTATGACCTAAATGCAGTGTGTATGAGAGTAATACAGATAAAACTACACTGGTATACTGTACCGAAACAGATTGGCAGCAGAAGGAAGTTGAATTATGTTGCAGGCCAAGACTCTGCCGGCTGCCGTGTTGGGCCGCAGGGATATCCTCGGTGCTGCTGAAACTGGCAGTGGGAAAACTCTCGCGTTTGGGATCCCAATTCTACACAGAATTCTCGAAGACAGGGGCCAAAGTGCAGGTAGATACAACCTTGGTATGTATGATGCAGCATTGTTGTGGCCGGCTGAAAGTGATATGTCACTTCCATTGATGAAATTTGTTGCATGTTATTCAATGGAACTTTATTATTTTGCCATGATGGCTGGTAGAATGTGAGATTTTGTGTTTATCCATGTTAATGTTTGCTGAAATTATCAACACACTTGCACACAACTTCTCTGACTACTGTGTTTTGACCACCAACAAATTATTGCTTTAGTCAGTTTAGTAACGTTGAGCTGGGTACCTCAGTCAGTGCAGCGACTTGGCTGTGGATTATGTGATTGGGGGTATCAGGTTTTTTCTCTTCTCCGTTGTGTCCCAACCAGCTCAGGGGTCCATCCAGCCTCGTCTCCATGGGGTACCAAGACCTATTTATTTAGACTTAAAGCATCGAGAGCATGAAACTATTCAGTCATCTAGTGCCAAATTAAGAATGCATGGAGCTATATCTCCAATCCTCATGCTTATTGATGGCACAGTACCAAGGTACAGGGATAACTTTACCCTTTTTGAAGGCTCTAGCCACATGCACAAAGAGTATTGAAGCCTATTCTTGTTTTCAGTTCATGCAAAGAGGACAATAGAGGCTGAGCCATGTCAGAGCGAAAATGAGTATGAAGAGCATGAGGATGAGAACAGCAGGGAAATGGTGGGTCTTGGCTGCGTCCAAGTTATGAAGGATGTCTCACCCCACAACACTCCAGGCTGTTCACAGTCAAAGCTTTATGCCCTGGTGTTAACCCCCACAAGGGAGCTCGCAATGCAAGTTCATAAACATCTTACAGCTGCTGCTAGATACACTGGCATTAAGGTTAGTTCTGGACAGACACAGAAGGTAACAGGAGTTGGTAGCATAGGTGATATAGTGACTGGCTGTGGGCTTGAATGACTGAAGGGTCCAGGTAGGGTCAAGAATTTTCTCTTCATGTCATCCAGACCAGCTCTAAGGCCCACCCAGCCTCCTGTCCAATGGGTATCAGGGGTAAAGCGGCCGAGGTGTGAAGCTGACAGCTCACCTCCAATTACTGCCAAGGTCAAGAAAATGTGGATCTGTACACCCACTCCCCCATACACCTTCATGGTGTAGTGCTTAGTTAGTGAAGCACAGGGACAACTTTACTTTTCTACCTCTGTAATAGGCCATGGAGGCTCATCGGGCGGTGAGGTTGTCAGTCTTATGCGCCGGCCACACTTTACCCCAAAGAAGATTTTTTGTACTCATTTCTGTTAGAGGCTGAGTCGATCTCAGAGCCATAGTACAGCTGGAAGGATCAGGTCAATTGAAAAATCCAGTGACCTCGTCAGGAATCGAACTTGCAACCTTCTGACTTGTAGCCTAGTGCTTTAACCAGCTATGCTACCCCACACATGCATGGCAGGAAATGGCCTGGAGACAGAAACAGTTCCCAGTTGTCACATCTGTCAGCATGTGATGACATCACGTGTCTTCATTGCTCTTTGTCTGTGCATAATTCACGATTCTCGTGTTGATATTAATGGTGACAAAATTTTGTTTTGTAAAGTGTGTGGGGTATTTGAGAAGTATGGCCCTTAGAAACTGAGACATGGCTGTAGAGATCTGTGAATGTAAGATGCTAGCTATATTTTCCAGATAGCTGTAGTGGTTGGTGGCATGGCACCCCAGAAGCAGGAACGCTTGCTTAGCCGCGGACCAGAAATCGTAGTCGCAACTCCTGGACGACTTTGGGAGCTCATACAGGATGGTAATCCTCACCTGGCTCAAGTTAGCAATATCAGGTAAGCTAAGCATAAATGGTGATGTGTAACAGTAAGCTTGGATGTTGTTTTGGATATCATACATTGGATTGAGTATCCTCAGGGACTGGCTCTGTTTCTGCCATCGGTTGGAGAGGGCGTGGTTTTCCATGTGTGGGAACCCCTCATTCTGAAGAATTCATCCAAGGGCTTGTGTGACATGTCATAACATGCTGATTTTATGTGGCAAGGAATTGTTAACCCCCAGCCAACCTGTTATGCTGGCAGACCACTCCTTGCCCATTATCCAGAACTGCTTTTTCAGTTTATTGCCCTGCATATCCGGAGGCATTTTCTCCAACCGCAACCATTCCATGCCATGGTAATAAGAAACATTCTTACATGGCAGGAGTAGTAGATCAGAATATAGTTTTTTTACAGCTTTTATGATGGTTGTTGTAGTGAGTAGCATCCACACGACAAATGGATTAACTGTCTGACTGTAAAATGTTATGTTATTGTATAGAGGCAGTCCTGACATATGAATAGTTACATTCCTTGACAGAATTCACAAAACAATATTTGTCAATGTGAATTCCTGTGTTCCATAGGCATTGTGTTGTACTTGGGGTTTATGTTTCTGAACAACCAAAAAAATAAACATAAATTACAAATTTTATTGCCTCAAACAAAATGTGTAAGCATCAGAAACATATTGAATTATGCTCTAACCACTGGAGACTGTCATATGGCATAAAAATACCTATCAACAATGTTATAAAACACTAAAATTTGACATGAGATGGACACAGCAACCGAGCATAAGGCGTACTGACTGGATGATGTCACATTCCATGGTTTCCATATTCATTCAGATGCACTTGTGGTTGTTTGGAAGGGATTTCAGATGGATGAAGTCGCATTCGGATGGCACGCCAAGCTGATGGTTCGGGCTTCATTATAAAAGTTTGCGTGAGCAAATTTTGTAATATGTGTGTTTATAAAGCAAGGACTGCCTGTATTTTATTCAGGTAGATAATTTGGTGTGTGTGCAGGTGTCTTGCTATCGACGAGACAGACCGTATGCTGGAGAGGGGCCACTTTCAGGAGTTGCATAACTTGCTGGAGCTCCTGAATGTCGACGAAGGCAAGAAGCGGCAGCGGCAGAACTTTGTGTTTTCTGCCACTCTGACTATGGTGCATGAACCGCCCAGGCGTCTGAAGAGCCGGAACAAGAAGCTCAGACTCACACCGGGGCAGAAGCTGCAGAACATCATGACGATGCTCGGTGTCACAAACCCTAAAGTGGTTGATGTTACAAAGGAATCTGGTGAGAGAATATTTTGTGATTCCCAGATTCTGTCTGTACATTTTGTTCTTGGTGTATTCCATTATGCGTAGTGCCTCCATCTTCAGGGTAGAAGACTGACTCATCTTTACTGAAGATGAAGACAGCGTGTTCATCCAAAATGTTGGTACCTGTGTAGTAAAGTATGCACTGTCACATCCCAGAAGACTGTTATTTTAATTTTCATCACTGTGAGAATGTCATTTGCACATCTGAAGGGCATTAGGAATGAAATCTAAAGAGAGGAGGCCTGTGAAGTAACCCAGAGCAGAACGTTTTACCTGGGTATTGGAAATACATGGCAGAGAGACAAGAGAACGGGCAAGAAATGAAAAGGGAAAGTTTGTGGGAATCTGGACTTGTATTCAGGATACTGATTATGTTTACTGATTTTGTCCTTTCACATTCTTTCCAATTCATTATTTGCCGGTCATCCCACCATTCAGTGCTAAATGGTGAGCAACTGACAGCTCTTTTAAAGTATACCATAAATAAATTATAAATAATTTATAAGACCAACTATGTGTACTCTAACATGGTGGTAAATTTTAAAATGTTTGGTCGATTGTTCGCATGGACGTACCCAGTTTTCAGGTTTCCTATTTGATAGGGCATAGTAAAGTTAAAGCTCTCCCTGTAACAGGCCGTGGAGGTCCATAGGGTTGTGAGACGTCGAGGCTCCCACAATTTCTAGACAGTTGGCTCCCAGATGGCTGTGAGGTCAGCTTTACGTGCCACTCGGCCACTCTTTACCCCAGGAAGATGCCTGGTACTCATTTCTGTCAGAGGCTGAGTTGACCCAGGGCCATAGTGCATCTAGAAAGATTAGGTTGATCAAAAAATCCAGTGATCTGATCGGAAATTGAACCCATGACCTTCCAGCTTTTAGAATAGAGCCTCAACCAACTTCACTATGGCATCATAGGACATGAGCCAGATGAATATAAAATTGGTCATGTTTTGAGGTGGGAAGAGGGTTGAAGCTTTTGTTCCCTCCCACAGGAACAGCCGGTACATTGACGGAAGCTCGTATCGTGTGTGCCCTTGAGGAGAAGGACGTTTATCTCTATTACTTCATCCAGCAACACCCAGGACGAACACTCATCTTCTGCAACAGCATCAGCTGCGTGCGCCGACTGGCGCAGCTTCTCTCTCTGCTCCAGTGCCGACCGCTGCCACTTCATGCCAACATGATGCAGAGACAGAGACTCAAGAACCTGGATCGCTTCCGAGACAATTCCCGCGGCTTGCTGCTTGCAACAGACGTGGCTGCACGGGGACTGGATATCCCTGGCGTGCAGCATGTTATTCATTACCAGGTCCCTCGTACTTCAGAGGTAAGTTACAGGCTGAGGTCCGAAGGCAGCACGTTTCAGGATACAGATCTGACATTACTGTGCCACAGGCTATGCACATTACTGTCGTCTGGAGCGTCCCAGATTATTTAATTGTGGGTGTCCTTGTACAAATTATTCAGTGCTTGTAGGAGCACGCTTCACTTGGATACTTGACAAGCAGTTGTTCTGACATGTTTCTTTATTTTTAAGACCTATGTGCATCGCAGTGGGCGTACAGCTCGTGCACAGAAGGAGGGCCTCACGCTGCTGCTTATAGAGCCAACAGAAGTTCCCCACTACACACGTCTCTGCCGCACACTTGGAAGAAGTAAGAGTTGCTTGTAGGAAACCTCGTGTCTTATTTGCTAAGTGTTCTCCTCCTCCTCCACAAAAGTTCGAACCTAAGAGGCACGTAAAAGACAGGACTTGAAACTTTTATGGAACAAGAAGTTCTCAGAAGAACTTACAGAGATCCATTTTAATATTATTTCCTCATCTTCTGAGTCATCTCTTTACTTCAAGTTTCACTACTAGTACTTAATATACATTTCCCTTCTCTTCAGTACAAGCTACCTGCCCTTCCCATCTCATCATCTGTGATTTAATTGTCATAATAATGTACAGTGAGGAGTATAAATTATGCAGCTCCTCACTGTAAAATTTTTGGATGTTACATTTGAACACCAGACTGCAGCTCTGCTGATGGTTTGTGCAGAGCTGGTCGCAAGATCATACCTACACACGTTTGAACATTCTTATTGCCAGCATCTGTAAGAACCATTTCAGAGGAACTAGCTGCTTCCATCTTCAGGGTAAAAGGTAAAGTTGTCCCTGTACTTAACTAATTAAGTACTACACCATGAACACGTGTGATGGAGTGGGTGTATAGATCCATGTTTTCTTGACCTCGGCACTAGCTGGAGGTGAGTGGTCAGCTTCACTCTCTGGCAGCTTTACCCCCAGGGAAATAGCCCCTGGTACCCATTGGATAGGAGGTTATGTTGATCCCATAGCCAATCTGTACTACATGGAGAAGTGAAAATTCTTGCCCCCACTGGCACTTGAATTCTGACCCCTTGGTTGTCCAGCCTGTAGCCAGTCACTATACCGACTGTGCTATCCTGGCTCCCACATAGAAGGGTAAATATAGGCACCATTTTCCTCTAGAACATTTCAGCTTTATTTAGAAAGCTGTTGGAGATTATTCCTTGTGTATGTATGTTCTATGGCAGTCCTCATTGTCACATTTAATTGATTTTTAATTGCATTTTCTAAACTTTATAATGACATTTTCTGATTCATTTTACAATCACATTTCTTCGGCCTGGCATAGAAGGACTTTACACCATATTACAGTCCGTCACTTGCTGTTTCTCTCCCGTTCTACCTTCATCACTGTTCCGTTCAGCAGATGTAACGGTCAGTTCAAGTGTGATGCATGTCGATGTCACCTCCATTTAACGGATGTTTACTGTTATCAGAAATCTTGTGTTTTACTTTATGCAGCAAAGGATTTGCCGCTGTTCCCTATATCAAGCAGCCTCTTAGCAGCTGCAAAGCAGCGTGTTACTCTGGCACAGGAGCTTGATCGGCTTGAACTGGCTACTCGGAAGTCAAGTACTGAAACTGGGTGGTTCCGAAAAGCCCTAACAGAAATGGATATGCTGGTGGATGATGAAGACTTGTATCCTTACAGCAGCATATGCAGACTTGACATCGCTGTACACACTGAGTTTCATTGCCCTGATATTGAATTTGAATCTGTTTGTTATTTTTTGTGTGATATCTTTCAAGGTTGCCATATTTACTGCCATGTGTCCCCACTGCTGTTTTTAACACCTGAAATATTGCGGCCTTATTATATGAATTCTTTTCTTGACAAGTTTCTTTTGCCGTATGAGAAATGTTACATATTTATTGATGTTTCAGTGATATGAGATCAGACCTTTCTAATGGACCCAACTGGGTAGGTGCCTTCCCACCAGTTTGCCAGAAGATGGAAACAGATGCAGTTATTGAAAGTTTTCTGTTCGGAATCTTAGATAGAGGTGAACACAGGCCAGAAAGCCAGTGGTTGTACTTTGTATTCATGATGTTAATTCTCTCTCCCTTATTTTAGTTTCTTGTTCTGCAGAAAATGAAGTCAGTATTACCTGTCGGTGAAGGAAATTATGTTAAAGACATAACAAATATCACCGGATATGACAGTTTATTTGTGTATATTTAAAAAAAAGATAAGGGGTACTTAGATGCAACCAAGCAAGTTGGTTCAAGTGGTAACACTTCTGGCATGCATTCACAATGTGACCCACTTGAACCTTGGCTGGGGTACCTTCCATTCATGAATTTCCTCTACCCTTCCAGGGGGAGAGACTTGTTGAATCATCCTATTATGCAATGTTGATGGTGTCATTGAATGAAACTGTAAATCCTTAACACATTATTCAGACCACGGCAGATGGATGATGATGAAAGCAACAAACTGAGGAGACTGGCCTCCGTGAAGCGCAAACAACTTGGAGCCCTTTTGTGTAGTCATCGTCAACATGGTGACATGAGTAACGCTGTGAATGTGGCAAAATCTGCCGTTGACATCAGGGCCAAACCTCAGAAAAACAGGCACAACCTGTTCCTCAAGAACAGGAGGAAAAATAAAGAGTAAATCACATATTGCAAGTCATGAACTTGTGTAAAATTTTTCACAGCCTTTCCCTCTTTCCCATGTCTTCATTGTCCTGAATGCTTCCAGACCTTTAAGCTGAAGTTGCCAGTCTTGCTCGTATCCATACTTGGCCCAAGTATAATGCTTCCAAGTTGTGATCGGGCAGGAACTGGTTTGAATGTCAGCTGGGATACTGGCTGTGCTAACTGCAATTTCTTGTTTCCTCAGCTCCTCCAGGGAAATGCCAGGCCAGTATCTTAAAATAGGCCACAACCATTTCCTTTGATGTTCTTTCCAATTTGTCATTCTCTGGTCTCGCAATTCAGTGCTGTTGGCTGAGCTACAGACAGCGCTTCTAAATAAATCATAATTTAAGACGTGTGATGATATTTAAGACCTTTTTTTATTCCTAGTGGGGTGGGACTAAGTCCCTTGTACTGTGGCCACTTGTGGCCTATTGTACCAGTCCCAGATGATAGGTTAGAGTGATTGTGGAGCAATTGGTGGAATGAAGATTGACAGGGGAAACCGAAGTACTCGCAGAAAACCTGCCTCAGCGCCATTTTGTCCTCCACAAATCCCACTTCACCAGACCCCGGGATCGAACCTGGGCCACCACGGTGGGAAGCCAGCGACTAACCACTTGAGCTATGGCGCGGCCAATATTAGTCATGGTACATCCTGTGTTCCACAGTAGAAACAAATGTATGTATTTAACCATTGTTGGCTAACGTCTGAAGACACAAGTTGGCAACTGTTATAACAGCTATATTATATTTCCAAAACATTTTTAAGTTCACAATTGCACTACTGTTTTGTCTTATCATAAACAGATAGCAGCTCTGTGCTTCTGTGATCTTTATCCATAGAAATGTATTTCATTTATTGATACCATAGGTCTAGAATTAACATATTTTCTGTAACTGTATGGCAACAGGTGCATGAGCAGGCTGACAAGCTCACCACCATCTGTGAGCCAGTTGTCTACAAAATGTGTGAACCTCGACGTCTCACAACCCTGTGGGTCTCCACAGTCTGTTACTGGGATAGTTTTACCTTTAAGATAGGAAAGCAGCAACATGCAGGGTAACAGTAAAATGTGCTTGTTATTTCCTGTAGGTCCTTTAATGTCTTGAGTAACAAGAAGGAAATAAATGGGACCTACACAATAAAAATTTCATCAGTCAAAGCTGTAGTTGCTTGTGTCAAGGGACCTGAGTAGCTTGCTGAGGACAGCGCAGGACCCTAGACGTGTGAGGGAAGAGAGATGCATGAAAGATTTGTTCTGAAAATGTTAAGGAAAGAGACCACTAGGAAGACGTACATGTAGACGGAAGAAGAATGTTAAAAGAAATAGGATGACCTTGTGTGGACTGAATATATCTCGTTTGGGATAGGGACCAGTGGCGCGCTTGTATGGCGATAGTAACGAATCTACATGTTCCATAGGATTTGGAGCATTTGTTTGCCCAGCTGAGCGGCTATTAGCTTCTCAAGCCGAACTCTGGAATTAGCAGTATGACCTATAAAACGTGGAAGGTAAAGTTAAAATTTCCCCTGTGCTTAACTAATTAAGCACTTATTCATGAAGGCATATGGTGGGAGTGGATGTATAAATCCACATTTTCTTAACCTTGACACTAGCTGGAGGTGAGTGATTAGCTTTACACCCTGGCCTCTTTACTCTCGGGGAAAGGGTCTACAGTACTTATTGGACAGGAGGCTGGTTGGGCCCTAGAGCCGGTCTGGACGACTTGGAGAAGAAAAAATTCTTGACCATACTGGGACTCGAACTCTAACCCCTTGGCTATCCAGCTCGTAGCCAGTTGCTATAGTTCAGTAATTATCGGCAAATAAATTGAGAAACAATTGAAGGTTACTGTCTTCTAGTATGCGACGCCATGTAGTCCGGTAGAAAGATACTTACCTGCATTTAAAGTGTCGCCATGTACTTCCGAAACGTCGGTACATTTGGACATGGCGACATATCCCAGAAGACAGCAATGTTATATTCATTTCCGGCATAACCTGCGAGTTCTCACAAAAGAAACAACAGTATAAGGGGAAACAGAACATCCGATCGATTGTTCCGTTTAAGAAGAAACTGGTGGAATTTGTTCGATGTGTCAGGCAGCCCCCCCCCCACACACACACACACACAAGTACTTGTGGCGAGCTTGCGTGCTTCAAGAATAGAGAGCGACGGCGGAAAGGTGTCTGTCTGCAGCCATTTGATGAATTACTGAATTGGCTTGCTTGACTTAGTCTTCGACCTTGAAGACGGAGGCAGTACCTTCCTCCGAAACGTCAGTAAACTGCTACCAGATTACTTAAATCAATTGCACGTGTACGCATAACTGAACTGTTCTCGCACACCACGAGACTGAGCAGAACGAGCAGGAAGTGCACCGGACACGAAGCGAGTGCTTCTGTACCCTCTCAACTTCTGTTCGAAACATTTTTCGCTCCGATAAATGTGTAGCGAGTTACGCGTGAGATGCAGTGCCCGTTGTTTTAACTGAATATTAAACAGAATTGGTAGCACGAATGGGGGAGAAGAGGAATGCATATAGGATATTTTTGGGAAAGCCAAATGGAAAGAAACTACAGGGAAGACAAACGTTTAGGTGGATTGACAATATTAAAATAGTTCTTAGAGAAACACGATAGGATGATTTGGATTGGATTGATCTAACTCAGGATAAGGACCATTGGATGGCTCTCTTAGACGCAGTAATGAACCTTCGGGTTCCTTAAAATGTTGGGAAGTTCTTGAGTAGCTGCACAATTGGCGGCTTATCAAGAAGGGCCCAGCTCCATGAGTGAGTGAGTTAAACAGAACTGGAATATGTTGAAACTCCACAACGTAATTCTTCTTGGAAACACGCTGAAGTTCTTAAACATGGAGACAGGGCAGACATGAGGCAACTCAGCCACAGCTTGACAACTTTTTGCGAACGAGCTAATACAGTAAGACCTGAAATAATGACAAAAATAATATTGACTAGAGAACATGCTCACGTTTAAAAACGTGGATGTGAAAGATTTAATGACTCCTTTTCAAATGCGTAAGTTGTTTTCTACATAAAGTGGAATGGTAGGGTAACAACTAATTATTAAGTGCTGTGGCTGGAAATCAATGAGGTAAAAAGGAACTTAGCTCAGCACCATAATATAAAGATGTATGGGGGAACTAAGGTATAGCTCCACCAATTTTACTCTCGACTCTGAATGTGAGTGCTCAGCTTCACACCCCGGACGCATTACACTGGTACCTGTCGAACATGACCCAGGGTGGGCCCCAGAGCCGGTATGGACTCAGTAGAAGAGATGCTTCTTACCTTGACTGAATTTGAGCTTAGTCGTCCAGTCCGTAGCGTAGTCACTATACTGACTGAGCTGTCGGAGTTCTCTTTTCTATTCAATCATTTGTTTCGACGGACAGAAAAATCTCATTCAAGGAAACGGTCTGAGTGTCGAGATTCGAACCCGGAACGTCCTGAGTAAGAATCATAAACATTGACCACTGAACCAAGACCTATGGATTCAGTATTTACATGTTACTTGTGTCGTGTTGTCTGTCCGTTGCGTGAGTAACCCGGAGTGGCAGGGATTGATAGTGCTTTGCATTCATTCGATGTTCGCTACAGACAGACAGACAGGCACCTTGGATCTTGACAGGTGTTTGCAGCTCACGTCAGCCAGGAAGAGAAAGGTGGAATATCATTACAATTACGTCGTTTTGTAATCACTTAGGTATCTTACGGTAGCGTACATTGTACTATGTACTATGCTACAAGCCGCAAGGTCGCGGATTCGATTACCAGTGAGCTCATTGAATTTTTCAATTGACCTAATCCTTGCGGCCGCACTATGGCCCTGGGGTCGACTCAGCCTCTAACAGAAATGAGTACCAGGAATCTTCCTGGGGTTAAAGGGCGCCGGCGCGTAAGGCTGACAACCTTACTACCGTCTATGGGCCGATTGTCTAGAAAATGTGGGAGCCTCGATCGCTCACACCCCTATGGGCCTCCACGGCCTGTTACAGGGATAGCTTTACCTTTACCTTTTAGGCGCATTGTTTCACGAGGCAGAATGACCAGTAATACGCAACGGGCGGTTCCCGTAGAAGTGCGACGCCAGTCGCTGTGTGTCTCAGTGGCCAGCCTGGCAACCTCCCTCACTTCGTTACGTTGCTTAGGGATTGTTTTGTTTCATTTGTGAGTCGCTGGCCATTACGAGACGAGCAAAATAAACTTCTCTCTCTGAGTTACCGCTCGGTATCTCATATTGCTGCTGGCAACGTATGCACACGCAACAGTATAAGAATTGTTGGACGCGTCGTTTTCTATGCGGTCCATTGTCAAAGGGAAGTAGGCCAATAGTTTTTCCCAGAACTTCTTGTTGAAGGTATTTTTGTCACTCCGCCCCGTATATGCAGAGTGTACAACGTTGCGGACGAATTTTGGGCACTAATTCCACGTACTAAAACACTGAACAAATACCCACATTAACACGTGTTCGGAAACATTGAATTTTATTGAGTTACTAAGCCAGATGAATCCAGTTCATACCATCAGGACATGCACTTAGGAGCTGCAGCCAGGGAAAGGATCTGTTGACACTTCATGATCTTTCCGAATTAATCAGTATCGAAGGAGAGATTAATGTAGTGCGTTGTTTGTTGGTATAATTGTGTTTATTTCATGGGGATACATACAGACCTTGACCTGCAGGTCAGTGTAAGATCCGTTCCATTGAAGTGCAGAAATTAACATACTTAATGAATATGGCTCTTAGTTGGGCCAAATGAAATGACAGGGACATAGTCTGAGGTGTCGGCATTTTGGGTGCACAATTCTTTGCTGCCGATATGATTACATCTCTCAGAATTAACAAAATCTTCTTGTAAGTACACTTAATTAAACATCTGGGTTAAATGTCTAAAATGCAGCATTCTAAAAGCATTTAGACAAAAATGACTCAAAATATATTGTACCTGAATTAAGGTGATATTT